ACCTCAACTTTCTAAACAAGATGGCCGCGGTCGAAGGTTTTCTATCAACATCGTTAAAGAAGTCAAAGCTGCCAAGACCTTGGCCATTGTCATCGGGGGATTTGTCGTTTGCTGGTTGCCTTTCTTTGTCTTTTTGCTGGTCAGTCTGTGGGACATAAGTCTGTTGAGACCACCTAAAGTCTCGAAGGAGGTCCTCGACGGTTTGCGTGCGACATTTTTGTACGTGTTACCGACAATTAACAGCACGTTAAATCCCATTATATACGCACTATTTAACAAGGAGTTTAGGACTGCATTTGTTCGATTGTTGCGGAGGACATGTGGAAGATCATTGACTAATTCGGATGACATCCATTACAGCATGAGTTCCAGCGTAATGAACGGCAGCCCCAAAACTAAAACGAATGGCAGATCGAAAAAGACCAGATTCCACGAGGTACAAGGCGACGAGGACGCAAGTTCATCAGACGAGCCAAAACATGTTTAGAATTGCTCTTTTCCCCACTGGGACCTGATTTTCATGGCCATTTGGCTTGGGTTCCGAGATAAAGAATTGCCTCCAGATAACCATCAGCTGAGAGACGATGAAATCCTTTGGAGACGAACCCTGCGAACAATTTAAAAGTTTGATTTTCGATAAGGATCGTCGGGAAGATTCAGCCTATGAACTTAAGGGAACTGATTTAAGTAAGTCAGGAATAGTTACACTGGTTCATCCTGATGTTATCCATGAAAGTCTTTGATTTTAGAGCAAGTTACTCCTGTCATATAACCATTTTCAGCGATGAAGAGTGTAACTAAAATCGCAAGAGAATAGAAGTGCCGTTGATTCCATCTTGTAAAAACAAAACGATACAAAAATTAAGACAATTCTCAGTGTATCAACAAATCATTCTTGAAAAGTAGCAGATATTTCTGTGATAGATATTTTACCCATCATGCATTGGTCGGCTTCGAACTGAAAAAATGAGGGCTCAATGCAACTTGTTCGTAATTTGCACCCTCTCTTAAAGTTTCCAAATCACACATGATCGCACAGTTTTTAGGACCTTTCCATCGGCGCGTAAGATGGATAATTTAAATTTGAGTACATATTTTGATTAGTTACACGTTAATTAGGAAACATCTTGTAGATTTGTTCAGTTCACTCAGGAAACGAACGCTCGTTGGATCTATTTAAAGCACATGTCTGTCGTTTGTGAAGTTTTGTACATTCTACCTTCTGTAACCCATGATTCAAATGTAAATTTGTCCATTCGCCACAAGGCGATCGACTGACGTGTAGAATATCTCGTTACATTTTGAAAATCGTCGTTTGTAAATAAGGCATCAACGTAAGTTGATTGAATAACTTTTTTGCATTTAGTGCAGGTTAGTAAGACATAATTTCCATTTCCTTGTTTGAAATTGACTTATCCGAACTAGAGTTCAAACAAGTTTTAAAATTGTTTGCAACCAGATTACACTTGCAAATGATTATTGGTCTATTAGATTTATGAAACTTTTAGGTTGTGGTATCATATGACATCGTGTACCTCTAGGGCTCTGCCGTATTTGTTTCAAGTCGTTGTGTGTAATAAACGGGCTCTCCTTTTTGATGAACACAGCGATTGGTTGCATATATGCTTTTCGCGACTCAGCGGTAAAAGCACAGCCAGAAGAGATTGGGAATGGCAGTTGAACCTCGCTAACTCAAGCTCGCTACACTCAAACTCCATTGTCGTCGAATCAGACTTAAGCTAAGGCTGCTAAAAGAATCAGACTTGAGGCTATTAAAAGGGCATTTTCGATCATGTTTACTTTCAGATAAGCCAAACCTTTCAGGCTGTATCTCAAAGTGTTTGTTGTTTTCGTTAGAATTCAAGTCAGCGAGGTTTCATTGTACCGGTCAAACGTTCTACAAGCCAGCGCAAAAAAAAAAACGAAAAGTGTTTAACAAACGGGATCGGGAAAAGTGCATGATCTCTCCACGGACTTTCTATTTTGTTGCGGATCACAGTCTAGTGCGCTCATGGAGTAACAACCGTAAGAAATCGAACGAACGCGAAAGTGGAGGATTGAGGGTTGTGACATCCTTGTTCTGTGCGCCCGCCCTCAAGAGTAGGTTAATTTTGTGTTGAGTGAATTTTGTTTCCATGAGAACTATGAAGCAAAGCAAATTCTATATCTCGTCCCTTATCATAGGTGTGCTTGTAAAGGAAAAGCAACGTCGACGTACATCCTCTCACCAGATAAGGATCGACAAAGCTTTTTATGCGATATTGCACTTGATACACCAAAAGCCAGCTGTTTCACCTCCCAATTTGCACCTACCGTGGACATGGCAGATTCTAAAAGGTCTCACCTTGAACAACTTGAAATTCAGTCAGAACTGGATCGTTTGTGATGAGTGCCGTTGATATATGTTTTCGCGCTCATCATCTTTAAGGCATTAGGCAAAATGAAGGAACAGTGTTAGTGGCATTAGTCATTTATTTATTTATTTCTGGGCTGCATGATCATTACAATTGAAGAAAAAATACTATACACTTGCATTCTGATTCCCTCTTCATTCTTCCGTGCGGTGGATTTTGGTTTTTGACCAAAGCAAAATAAGAACAAGTCGTTGTATAAAGTAAATCCATAGGACCTCTTCCCATGGAAACAAACAACAAAAAGCCAACACTAATTCAAAACCGTTTCCACGGTCATAACTAGATACTTAGTAAAATCCGACATAATTTGTTTATGTCATTAGCAGAGAATAAGCTTTTGTCGTGCTAAGAGAATTAAGAAATCCAATTAACTCGTAAAAGTCGGCTTATGAAACCGTTAATTGGCCTAAATGACGCAGTCATAGCCAACAACATCTGTCACCCATGCATAGCAACACACGTACATGCAACGCTATAAGAAGCAGAGAAGATTTTTATGCGGTTGTCTGAAATGCATAGCTAACCTCAGGTGTCCGAAACGAGAGCGCTTTCAAGTTTGGCGCTGTTGAAACGAATGAAAACAATTGCAGTGACCAAGCAGACCATACGAATTGGTCAAGATGTGTGTTCTTGACCGGACCTTTACCAACATGCTAAGTTCTGATTAAGTCGCGGTCGCCATTTATCATCTTAGATCATCTTACGACGTTCTTGACAGCACAGAAGTTCGAGAACTTTCAGTTAACAATCAAACTATTTCAAGGCAACATGGGAGCAGATCCTCAGAATTGCTGCAGTATCAGTTACAAAGTTGCTCTTTGGAAAGACCAGCATCCTATCTCTCATCCCAGGTTCCTCGCCAGCCAACCCGCGAGCGCAGCCGCCTTGCTAGACGGCGAACGATGCGAAACAGCCTTTTTGGTAGACTACTTTCTAGCACGATTATCTCTCACTGCTTCCTGCCCCCTCTTCAGCGCACGTGAGAACCCTCACCCAGGCTCAATGCAGTTGAATATAAGTAGGAAAGACCCAATGAAAATTTTGAATTGTTGAACACCGCTGTCGCCTGACCGTGCATGCATATTTATTTTTATTTAGTAGTCAGTTAATGAGATTTTGTAAATTAACAGCATTTCCACGAACCATTTCAAGACCCTGCCCTTTCACGCACTTTTATATATGACGGCTATTGAAAAGGTAGGGATTGGAGCAGCCTGTACCAAACTCGAGGTCAGAGCAAGCGAAGAAAATAGCGGGTAGACGACACGTGTTACTTATTAAAGAAAACGGCAGAGGAACGACATTCCCACAATTTTTCGTCCGCCCAATGTTGTCGCCTGTTTCCACTGGCCGAGGGAGCCTGGCACAGGCTAGAACTGGACACGCTTAGGAGAGACGCGATATATAAGCGGTAGCCATTCCTTGTAGTTCTTTACCTAATTGTATTTTTTGTTCCAATCTACTCCTCTGATAGGTTTCCTTTTTTTACAAGTAAAGAAGAAGACGAGTTTACCGGCAGTTTACCGATTTATACCATTGTCAGATTTGCTAAGATTAATTCTAACCATGACACCTAACCCCTTACAAAAGGACATAACCCACACAGCTTAAAGGACGGATTTCCTTTTTTTACCTAGTAGTCGAAATGGATTAACCCCGATAACAAAAAAATCAGACAGGTTTTTGTTTTTAATTTTCTTCCTATTTAAAAAAAATTATGACCTCAAGAGGTTTTCAGAAGAAGCAACGCAGCCAATTATTGTTAGTTTATAACAGACGTTAGGGCGGGCCGCAATTGAAAATGGGAAATACCAAAATACAAAAGGTACAATACTAGGCCTTGAAACTTTTCACACTTTACCCTCTTAAATCAGTATGTATATTCTTCATAGTGTTCTTTATATATTTTCTAAGGTGCTGATGTAGAGAATTTGTTTAGCAATCAAGAGTTTAGTTGGTTATCATTTCCTTTTCTCACGTGACCAATATGCGTGTGATTCAGGGGTGATATTGTAAGGAGAAATTAGATGCTAGACATCATTAGGTCCTATCAGTGGTCAAAAGTTTAAGAAGAAGAAAATCGTAAAATATGAAATTACGTTTAAGACCACAAAATGAAAGAGTCTGATGGAAACGAGTGCGTTTTGTTTGGTTGTTTGTTTGTTTTTTTCACCCGTTTTGTTCAGTTATCTTAAGAATAGTTCCAATAAATCTTTTTATGCGTCGCCGATTATAATAATCCTGGAAAGTTCTTTACTTCATCAGGCGTTTCCTGATCAACCATCTGTGACCCAAGGCAACGTTAAAGAATGCAGACTACACTGAAGGGGATGGGAAGCGTATGGTAATTGTTTCAACGGTGCATATTTCTTCATGTAAGGGATGTAAGGGATGTTCAGGGTATAAGTTTAAATTTTGCTCGGTACTTTACTTTTTTTGTTGTGTTGTTTGCAAAATTTTATGCATTGGCAGAAATTTCCGGTATGAAAAAGGTTAACAAACTTTCCTAGGCATCCCCTCCCCCGAATCTTATTGCTCAAATCAATTCGGTGTACATGCCCAGCGGTTAACAAAAAAGTTCGAAAATGGCGGTCACCAAGCTATGACTACTACTAGATCTACAACACGATTATACGTCGATTCAGTCGATTATCTGTCGACCTCTGCCACCGAAATGCCATACGAAGAAGTGCCCCTCAGTAATCTTAAATCGAACGGTTACAAGAAGCTCCGAAACAAGGCGAATTTGCGGGCAAGTCCTGAAGACGAACCGGGATACGGATCGACCGACGATGCTCCGTTAATGGTAGACGAGGTTGATGATGATTTTGACGATGATCGTGGTCTCTCCGAGGGCTATCAGTCGTCAGATAGCGGAGATAAGGACAGGAGAAAAGGGAAAAATAAACGGAAGAAGGAGGGGTGCTGTAAGCGTTGTTGGAAGTTCTGCTGTTGCTGTGGGTTTTTATCGTCTTTTCGAAGGTAAGAAAGCAAAATCGTTTTACAAATTTTCTTGCTGAGAGGTCATGTAGACGCGTCGTAAATAATGCAAATTGAAAAGGTACATGGACTGATCTCATTGTTAAAACTTCACACTGAAAATTCATGTAAAATTTGTTCGTCGCATTTGTTAATTTTTTATCACGGGCTCACATAAATTTTAAACTGACATACAGCTGTACAGGACATGTCGTAACGTACACCTTTGTACATACAGGTGTCCTTTTTATTTGTCGCCATTTTTCACATTATTTTTCCGCCAATATCTTTCTATTTTATTATAATAAGATTTTTTTATCAGGATATGATCTGTTCTAATCTCTATTGGGTTATTAAGGCTAGAAGTTAAAGGATTGATCGATCTGCTTTTTTTTTTTTATTTAGGTAATAACTAAAGACGAAATAATCTGATCACTTTCTTCTCTGTTTTCAAGCTGTACAAAAAAGAAATACAGAAAGGCCTTAGTACTAATTAGTGCTATAGTATTACAAATTATTACCCTGGGCATGGCGTCTTAATCCTTTACACCCTATCATCAGTATTCATATTCTCAACACTGTTCTCTATTCATTTCTTATGGAACTGACAAGGAGAATTTGGTTAATAATCAAGAGCCCCACCAATTGATGATTATTTCCTTTATCCTTATGACCTTTGCATTTGGGTAAGGGGTGATTACTCTAAGGACAAATTAGAAGGGAGACACTCCAAAGGGTGAAACATGATGAGACACAGTCATTGACCAAAGAGAGGGTAAACATCCATTTCTAAGTGATTACAATTTAAATTTTTATCACAGTTACTGTGGGGTTTAGCTTTTAAACATTGCAGTTTTTTTAACAGTGTGTATTTTTTCATAGTTGTTTTGACAGTCTGATGGGAAAAATTGAAATGAAGCCAAGGACAGTTGTTTTAGGAAGAGAGGTAGAGTACACACTTGCATTTTATCACAGAATTATTAGCATGTGATTTTACAACTTTCCCTTATAAATGATTTAAACTTTTTTATATTGGAGTAAACAGGTAGTGGCTAGACAGACAATAGTAAGAGGTCCTATAGGCTGCAGTGGACCATTGGTAACCGGTTTTTATTGAAACTTCTGATAAGCTTATTGAGCCTATGTTTAGTTATTATTAATATTTTAATATAATCAGTTTATATTTCTGTTGTGGTTAAAATTTATAGGGGTTAATATCAAATAGCATGAAAAATATTTGAGCTACTTTTTATTTTAGAGTGTTAACCCTCAAATTCACAGAAGTGATCAATGTCTATGTAGTTCTCCCTATAATATCCATACATAATCCACCAAGCTGGTTATGAGAATACCAGAAGTTATAATCTTGATCAAAGGCCAAATTATTGTTCAGTATGTAATCAGTCAGAAAATGTGTAGCAGCTAGAGAGGAGAATAAGTAATCAGTGTTTGGGAGTTTAAGGGTTAATGATGCCAATAAGACATTGTTACAAAAAAGGTTGAAGACCAGTGGAAGTAGTGTGAGTTATTGGCTGAATCATGAATCACTCTGTAAAACGTTTTTCAATTAAGAAGTCCCAGTTGTCAACCTTAGTTCATTGGTTAGCTAATTTTATTATGTGCTTGTGTTTATTTTTCAGTCTGCAACTCAGAAGTTCCCTCGTAATGTCATTTGTAATCAGAAATACAATATCATAACTTTCATTCCTCTGGTTAGTATAAATAATTGTTATTAGGGGTGAAGTACATTTACATGTAGAATCTATTATTAACTATACATTATTGTCCCTCAAGTAATCTTAGCGTTGCTTGTCGATGTATTAACAATTAATTTTTTCAGGCCAGTGTTATCCTCTCTCATAAATTGCAATTATAAACAGTTTTTGCAAGAAAATGATACCTGCCTTGATTTGTTAAGCAATCTGCAATAGAAAGACGTGTCTTTTTGTGACTTGTCAATGAATGTGTAAGCAGCATTTCAAAAACCGAGGTTTGCAAATGTCTATACAATCCATGTTTGTTGGTAACAGAGATGATTTCTTGACAGTTATCCTTCTTTCAATAATGATAAACTGTGTTAAATTATGTATAAGCAGCTATACTTAAGGTACTGTAGGCGGCAAGGATGGAACTTTTTCTACTGCTCTGCTATTTGATCAAAAATAAAATGTTTATTAATTTTCAGACCTTATACAACCAGTTCAAGTTTTTCCTGAACTTGTACTTTCTTATGGTAGCCTCTACTCAGTTTATTCCTGAACTGCGGATTGGTTATCTGTATACATACTGGGCTCCACTGGTACGTCTATAATTTACAATGGACTTATAATTTTGTTAGTATGCTTGAAGCACATCAAATTTGAAAAATGATTTGAATAGACTGAGATAGAATCTTAAAATTAAATTAAAATTAAAGCAAGTCAAAAGCTTCACTCAGTGCAGAAGAACCACATAATGTTAAACTGGAAATTGAAATGGTCATGATTGATTGGTAACAGGACTTTGTGTTCAATGTCCAATTCTGTTGGTAATCATACTCGTGATTGGCAAATCGGACTCCCACTTAGTGGTCGTCCGATTTTGTTAATCACTTGTATGATTACAGACCAAATTGGACTCCACTCAGTCCTATTACCACTATGTATTAAGTAAATAAAATACACCAGTCCAAGTGTTTCACTGATTACACCAGAATACAGAGAATGTTGCATTTCTATTAAATGTTGGCTATTCACTTATTGTTTAACCACCCCACTCCCAAGAGTGACTTAAGGGAAATTTCTCCATACAAATTCCATTAATTTTGAAGGAGATGAGAAGTAAGCTAGATATCAACAAAAGGGATATTATTCGATTCATTACTGAATTCTTAAAACGATGGTTATGGAAAATCTATGACAGGAAGTAGGGAGATCTGATCTTTAGATCCTGTAAGGAAGAGGGTTAAGGAACACTAAATAACCTGTGTATTGAGAAAGTATCAGTTTACCTGTCAGAAACTATGTTAGTTCTAGAAATAAAGTGAGTAGTGTCAATCATGCCCAGCACAAAGTTTTGCCATTTATACAGTGTAAGAATGGGTCTTTGATCTGTGGCTGCAGTTATACATGTTGGTGATTGTTGAGTCAGTCTAGACTTGAAATTTTTTATGGTTACTGATAAATGGAAAGCATTTTGAGTTCATCTAGCAACTTTATTTCAATCAATTTTTCTGCAGGGTTTTGTTGTGTTTGTGACAATGTGTCGTGAGGCATATGATGACTTTGTTAGATTCAGAAGAGACAGAGAGGTCAATTCACAAAAATATAAGAAACTCACTAAGAAAGGTTAGTTATGTCTAGAAGAGGCTGTTTGCAATTAGTATTTGTGAAATGTAAATTTTTAGTGGCTCATCAATTGTGTGTGTCACATAATATTACTTGTACTTTGCCTGCAGAGTTAAGGTAAGTACATGCCTGTAGAAAAATAATTTTTTTATCCTGGTTGTTTGTTCCTTTTCTAAATTTCATGAATCAATTACACATTTTGTGAAAACTAAGATGATAAATATATCAAAAACATGAAGCAAACAAAAAAAGAGAGAGCACTGGATTTCTGATCCAAGCAGTATAACAAGCAGTCTGACCTGCTGCATACCAGCCAGATTTATCATGGTTTGCCTTAAGATTAATTTCACTAGGGTTAGTGAACAGCCACCCATCCAGCTGGCCTCTTGGCAGTTGGGGTTTGTTTGTTACGAAAAGTAGCATTGGTGGAACAATTAGTGTACTGCGTATCTATAATTAAACATAAAAAAACTTTTTATCACTGTTATTTCAGTAGCTTTTTAAATTGATTTTTTAAACAACAGGTGTTGTTACCATTCCAAGCTCAGCCATTAAGGTATCAGACCTTATCATAGTCGAGAAGGTATGTACTCAACTGTTGATAATATGAGAATATTCTAAGATGTATTACCATTTTTTGAATAACAAGCAGAGCTGTCGATAAGAGGACAGCCAAATCTGCAGACAAGAGCCAGCCCCGCCCCCTAGCAAAACACATGAAGAAATGACTTAAACTACTGTTGCTCAGATTCTTGACTCTTGCTATTACAGAAATGCTGACACTTTCATGCCACCCCTCCTCCCCCAGTGCATTATTTCACTTGTATTTCTCGCACTATAGCCAACACTGAATTGTTTTGTCCAAAATCCTGACTCACGTAATATAAAGTGACATTAGGATAAAGAAAAATTAAAGAAACCATTCTTCAATTGGGTGTGAACATGAGCATTTCCTGCTTGGGGCTAGATCTGTTTCTGGTCTGTAAGACCATGTTAGAAACTTTGTTTGGTTAGTTACATTTTATTTCATATATTCAGAGGCAAGACAACTTATTTTTCTCTTGTACCCTGCTATTACAGACTTCCACTATTATGGACTCTAAATTTCCCTGTGAGGCAGGGCGTGAAATTGCACCCAATACAGGCACCAGTGCGACTAAATTTTTCACTTTGGCGACCAAATCCTGAAAATTAGTTGCCAAATTGGTGACTAGAATGCTTCATCATAACCTTACTTAGAGATAAAGTTAATTAAATTGGACATCCTAGTGTCCAATTTGTAGCATGTTAAAGATCTTTTTCCTAACTTAATTTTGGAGGGTCTATCTAGAACACTGACAGCGTTATAAAAAGGTTTTATTTGTCTTTATATATGGCGACCAACTTTTTTTTAATTGGCTACCACTTTGAAAAATTTAGGAGCCAAGTGGCTATCAGAAAAAATAATTAATTTCATGCCCTGTGAGGATGTCTGCAATAACAGGAGTTGACTGTACTGTGCCTTCTTTAGCTAGCCACTTTCATTTCACTTACCCATGAGGAATCAAATGTACAATTCCTGAAATACCATTGAAGAACAATTGTCTTTTTAATTTAATGATCTGGGCTCCTCAGTGTGATGGGAGGAAACAACATTTTGTCCACAATAATCTGGCTGTCCATTGTGTTGTATTTGCCTTCTACTTTCAAACTTGTTGACAGCCTAGAATGAGTATGTGTATTTCCTATTTTTAACCACTCTTCACAACAGTTGATGTAAAAATTGTGTGGGAAGATCAAAGGTTATTAGCCCTGTCAAATCCTTTGCCTTTTTCTTCTCACACAGGATCAAAGAGTTCCTGCTGACATGGTGTTTCTTAGAACTTCAGAAAAGAATGGTAAAAGGTTTTAATTATAATAACTGTGGTTATTAATAGTAATAAAGGTCTTAGTGTAAATTTCATACATATCACTTGAGCATGGTGCAGTATTTTGAAGTCTTTTCTGTAAGGAGGCTTGTCTCTATTTTGTCATTTTGACTGAACAGTGCTGGGCCTGCACCTCAAAATCCTTTCAGAAGGCCTGGGGCTATCCAACATATGATGATTTGAAATTTTGTTTTTAATTCCAGGAGCTTGTTTTCTAAGAACAGACCAAATGGATGGGGAAACTGACTGGAAGCTGCGTTTGACTGTAGAACCATGTCAGCGACTGCCTTGTGATGCTGTGAGTGTTTAAGGCCTATTTGCCACAGTGATTTTGTTAAAAAGCAGGTGTCTGTTACCCCTGCTCCCCCCCCCCCCTTCCTTTAGTTCCTTCTTTTTTCTCAGTGCACATTGTGCAATATCTGGTGTTTGGATGCATGGCTGAACTGCATATGCAAAAATATACATTGTCTCAATATTTGTTAGGATAACCCATGATGTCTTTTATTTTCTTGTAGGATTTGCTGAATATCAGTGCTTCTGTTTATGCAGAGAAACCTCAGAAGGACATTCATAGTTTTGTTGGAACCTTTACAAGGGTGAGTTAACTTTTCAGTGGTCCCAGCTAAAGAAAATTCCCTGTGTCAGTGCCAATTAGCCTGTTTGGTAATAGCATTAACATAAGTATTTTTTATTTCTTCACAGTATGATGGAGAGAGGAATGAAACTCCCCTGAGTATCGAAAATACCATGTGGGCCAACACTGTGATTGCATCAGGTACTTGAGAATATTGTTATCAGTTATCTGCACAGGGTGTCTTTACTTGTAACCCTTCAGTAATGAGTACAATATTAAAGTTGAGTGAGGCCTTGAACTACTGTTAAAATTAACCCTTTAACTCCCAAGATCTCATCGGTAATTCTCCTTACTGTCTTCCATACAGTTTTTGTGATGTTAGTTTGGAGAATTCGGTATTGGATCAACTTATACTCCCCTAATCGATATAATTGTTCTTTATTCTCATCACTTGTCTGCTTGATATTGTACTGATATTGTATGGAGAAATTCTGTCTCGGTCATTTATGGGAGTTAATGGGTTAAAAGGGTCTCGATACTCGACTCGAGCCTCGAAGTTATCGAGAATCGAAGATCGAGGTTCGAGGGAATGTCACTTTTTAGCGGTATTGTTACTAAAACATATGCTAATGTTCTCACCACGTTTTGTATCT